TGTACATCAGAAAATGCGCCTTGAGGCATGGAACATATGTACCAAATATGCCAAAGATGTCTACAAAATTATCTCAGTTATTATTAAAAAACTGATTATTTTTGAAAACTTTGCCACCCTGTATCTCAAAAGTTAAGGCGTTTAGGACATACGTCCATAGGACGTTTTTTCCTTAAAATGGGTCTAAGAATTACCTCCTTAAATATTAGCATGTGTTTAAGGAACACCCTGTATAGGTATGATGAAACCATTAGTAAAAAGTTTTTAAAATGTAATTCAGTAGGTAATTGAAGAATCAATATTCCATTATCCACACGTTTGAAGAAGACGCGTAATCTTCAAATAGATATTAGACGGTGCATTTGAATAAATACATTTTAATACAAAGATAAACATAGAAGCAAATACGAGCATATTCAGGGTTATTGCTAATTTCGAAAAGCAGTTGCTAACCACTTGCATATTGTTGACATTACTTTTTTGGAACTGGAAGTACCAATTTTGACCTGTATCTTTCAAATTTACGTTCTTAGCGCAATATTCCAACAAGAGCATGAACGTTGATGAAAGAAAAATGGATACAGAACGTTTGAACTTGTTTTCATTTGAGTAATTGATTCAATAGTCGTGATGGCAATTGGCCATATTGGTAATCAAATCCCATCTGTTTGTATAAAGAATACATCACCTGTTGTCAAAACTGTAATTAAAAAATATATTTGCAATTTTGTTTTACAAGTTCTCGGCTCAGAATTATTAGGCAAGCATGACAAAACATCTCCTAAGGTGAGAGAGATAACATCTATAAGATAAGGTCATCTGATTTATGGATACTTTTCAAATATTCTGTCATTCATTTCCTATTGTTATTGTTTTAACCATATGTGAATGTTCAATGATTTTGGGAAATTACCATTTTGATAATTAAAAAAAGATCCTTTTTCTCCTCTTGAGGTCTCCTGAATATACTTTGGAAGGCAATACTCTTCATTCTGAAATCTGTTTGGCTTTTTGCAAAAATACTCCATCCAAGATATTTTCACTTCATATTTTTTTCTCAGTGTATACGTCCTCTGTCCAAAAATTAAGGCGCAGTTTAATTTTTTTTTAATATTTATTTGTTAACCTTCCGTTACTGACGTATAGACATTGGACACAGATACTGACGTTTCTGTCATTCGGCATTTCCACTATCAGCTAAATTTCAAAGTGTAATGGTGTATTCTTACCAAAATGAAACCTAGGTGCATTTTTATTGGAAAAAAAATGTATTCTCACTACTTGGACATAAAATATCTCCTCAAATATAAAATAAACACTCTATACATATAGGTAACACACTTATGAGGTATAAAAAATAATATTTCATCGTTTCGAAAGCACATCAAGAAATAAGAAAAAACATTCTTATTGAAAAGTTGAAGAAACGAGATATTAAAAACTCAAGTTGTTGTAACATGTTTCACACAATATTTCTATATGATCTAAGCATAAAACTTTTTACATTTCCGACAGGAGAATCGTGTTTTTCGATTTTTCTTAGAACTACAAATAATACAACGGCCGGTTACTTGGACTCTTTCCTCATCTTGAGTTGGCTCTTGACTGAGACCACGTACTTCCGAAATTCGGCCTCTCAGAGTTCTAGGTATGTAATCTGACGCAGAACGTAGTTTCAGTTGATCAGAGACTAAATCAACTTATCAACTAAGTCCACTCCTCCTTTC